CCCAAAGCATGAGATTCCCACCTGGGAAGATCCAGGTGTCCCCCGGGCCTTGCCTCTCTGAGCGAGCTCCCGACGGTTCCATCTGCATCCTCTTAGGGAAGAAGCCCCACCCAGGGGCTGCACAAGGTCTTCAGCTGTGGTTAACCTGGTGTAAGAGTTGTCTACACACATCTCAGTAATTTGGAGAGAGAGAATGAGGACCGGGTGAGTCAGGACCAAAATCCAGGACGGAGGCAGCAGCAGAGAGAAACGGAAACCAGACAGGACCAGAGAGAAAGAGAGAGACAGACACAGAGGTAAGGAGACCAAAAGGACAGGGACAAGGGAATGGAAAATGATCACAAACAGAAACGGAGACGAGAAGCCGACGCAGAGACCGCGAGTGGCTCAGAAACGCCAGGTCGGAAGAGAACAAAGTCTTGGAACAAACTGACATGTGCCTCTTGACGTGATGTACTGAGGAGGACAGAACATCCCTCCGTGGCGTTGCCACCCCAGACGCAGAGCTGGAGCCTAACCGCGGAGAAATACCTGATGGGTATCTTCAAACCGCCAAGGTTAAGGTACCCAGAGCAAGGCAGAGGCCCTGTCCCCAGCTTAAAGGACACTAAAGGGACAGGGCATTGAATGCAATTCACCATCCTGTTTTGGCTCTTGGAAGAGGAAGAGTAAAACTATAAAGAACATTACTAAGAAAACTGACAAAGGTTGCCCCTGGCTTGTGGGTTAGTATTGGATCAACGGTAAACATCCTGATTTTGGTTATGGGAGAAAGCGCCCTCGTTCCCAGGGGAAAAACGGCACTAAAGTATTTGGGCGTAAAGAGCCACAGGGTTTCCAACTTACTCTCAAGTAGTTCCAAAAAATGGGGAAAACAGATATGTACATGGAGAGAGAGAACAATAAAGCACGTGGTAAGATGCAAATAACGTGCCAGTCTAGACGCAGAATACATGAAAGATATTTTACCACACTTGCAACTTTTCTGTACGTTGGGAAAAAATACTGAGTTGATATTCAAAAAGATGTTCTCAGCACCTCCCTGTTGAGGTGGGGAACAGGTGCTGGAGCCTTTTCATGGGGCTGAGAACCAGGAGGGCGGCCATACGCAGGCAAGCCTGAGAACCAGCTCTCCAGCCGCTGAAAACATCTAGGAGACCTGACCCATCCCTTGCCACCTGCCTGAAGGCCCGTTTTCCAACCCTTCACCCCATGACCTCAACACAAATAAATGGGGATCCGGGGGGCCCCACGGCTGCCCCTTGCCCTGTACCAAGAGGTTCCCGCCATCTCCGGCTCACACCGTACGGCAAAGCCCAGCTTGGCTCTGCGGCCACATGAGGAGGGGAATCCAGCAGAAGGAAGGGTTCGGTCACCGGGCAAATGAGGCTCTGTGTGCCCACCGCTCTGTGCTCACCGGTCCTGTGCCCTGGGGCTGGGGGCTGTGTCCCCCAACGCTCCCCAAGCCTGGCCTGTCCTTGCCATTTGGGTTTCCCAAACATCCCCTCTGAGAGAAGGCTTCCCTGACCAACGATTCCATCTTCTTACCCTGTTTTTCCTTCTTATTGATTTGTTGACGTGTGCACCTTGTGTTTCTGTGTGTGTGTGCATGTGTGTGCTGAGACAGAAGGAGAGGGAGAGAGCCTTATGTGGTGCTCTGAGCAGGGCACAGCGCTAGAGGTGAGGTATCTCAGCCTCTACACCACGGACCTGACGACTCGGGAGTTCTGTGACAATGGGGGGGAAGGGCAGGGGCTGACGGGCCATGCGTGGGTCCAGCTCCGAGACTGCGTGGGTCCCAGAAGCACTTAGCCATGTGGCCTTGTGAAGAAATCCCAAATGGAAAGCCTCCGGGGACCCCCATATGACCCTCCTCGTGCTGACCTGGCTATTCCCATACTGATCCCAGAACATACTAGAAAAGAATCACACCTTTCCGCTTTCTCCCTCAGCTGCCAGAAATGGGAAGGAGCAAAGTCCACAGAAAACAGGCAATAAATCCTGCTCTGCCAGCCAGGTTCTGAGTGGAGAAGTGGGCAAGCGAGTGGATGAAAATCGAGGCTAGTTCAGGTGAGTTGAGCTCATCCCTCGGCTTCTTCCCGGGCATACAGGACTCTCAAAGCACTGGCCGGACCCCAGTGAGGCCCGAGCTTTGTCCCTTCCCGGGAAGCCGACATTATACATGACCACAGTGCCCGGGACGCTCATCACAGCTGACCGTGACATCCCCAGAGGAGCTGTCCCTTCCCCAACCGAATGAGCAGCACCCAAGGAGACAACCCCATTGAAAATTCAAGTCCGGGGGGAGCCTGGAGTAGGGCAGAAGGTGGTGAAGAAAGTCTGAGCCACATCCACTGAAATGTGTTTACTGCTGTTGGCTGCTTTGTGGCTTCCCTTGTGACGTTGTTGAAAGACTTAAAACACCCCTGCGTGTCGCAGGGGACACATGGCTCAGGCCAGTTTAGCTGATCCAGGATTGCCCAAGTCGGCAGGTAGGGACCATGTGGACACTGAAAACATTAGAGGCGATCTCCTGGTCCGCTCCGGCCGCCTCCGCAGCTGGCGGCGGACACGAGATGCGCCTCTGACTCTGGACCAGCTGGGTCTCCTGCAGATCAGCCGTCTTTGTCTCGCCCTCGCCGTGTGCAGCCGGGACGGGGATGGCCACGCCGAACGACTGCTGACAAAGGAAGAAACCGACTTGTGACCCAGTGTCCCCAATTCCCATCCTCAAGATAAGAGTGGGCAAACAGTCAGATCTATAAATAGCGCTTCCTGAGGCACCTCAAGGACTCGGCAGGCGTGGGTGCCTCACTCGTGCCCTCCCCAGCGTGGGGTGGCGGGCTCTCTCACGGGACCTCCAGAAGCTGGAGCCCTTCCTGCCTCTCCCCACCTTGCGCTGAACCGCAAACACAGAACCTTCAGCAGCCACGAGATGGTTCTCACCCCTCCGCTCGCCGGCAGCCCTACAGCTACCTGGAAATTAGCATGGGGGCAGAGGAGCCCTCATTGAGGTCTCTGATTCCCCGTTCATCCCCATTAGGGTGAGACGCCTCCACCAGGCTGACAGAGGACGTATCCAGAATTCCAGGCGTGGTGGTGGGCTCCATCTTGCCCTACGGGTCCCCCTGCATGACTTCCCACCTGCTGATGTGAGCGGGAGGCAGGGTACGCGTCCCTGCCTCTCCCACTGCCGTAACCAGTCTGTAGTTACCGGACTCGGTCTTCGTCAGGGTTCTTCTCTGCTACCAAAGAGATCATGTCTGTCATAGCTTGCCAGGCCATTTTGTTCTCCTCTGACAACGTTCATCATCAGCTCGAATTCAGAAGAAGTGCCCAGGGTGACACCAGCCCCGGATGAACACCACTGCCCGGTTCCCCCATGACCCGATGATGACAGGAACTCACAATTATAGAATGGTCACCGGGCCAGGCTCTATGGAAAAGCCTTAGAGGATTCGTCTCTTTTAATCCTTGCAGTAACCGGATGGAACGCAAACTATTATTATCCCCACTAGGAAACAGATGCTCTGAGAGGTCAAGTACCTGGTCTAGGATCACAGAGGGAGTGAGTAGTGGGGCGCGGGCTCCTCACCCAGCTCCACACGGCTGCCGAAGGGGGTCTTCGGACACAAAAATGGTCCTGCCAGGATGTCCCCCTGGGGGACTGATAACATAGCCACAACCTTACCCATACACCAGAGGCTCCAGCCGTGAACTGAGATGAACACCATGAAGAGATCAGCTCTTGGGGCCACAGAGTCACCACAAGGGTGGAGCTGGAAGGAGCCTTGGAAACTCCAGGACACCGCCTCCTCCTTTTACAGGTGAATTACGAGGATGCTTGGGCCCCACACGTTCGCTGGTGAGGCATCCAAGACCGTGAGGGAACAGCCCTTCTGCCTGTGGCCCTGCACTTTGGGGTTGGCTCTCCAGGCCGACTGGGGCAAGAGAAGTCACCTTGGTGTGGAATGGGACCTGCCCAAGTTCTGGTTCAGATCCAGATAATCCTGCCTTTTTCCAGAATTGGCTCAGCCCTCCGGAGGCCCCCCAAGTTGAACATGGCGGCACAGTGGCCTCCAGAACGCGAGGCCACTGGTGACCACATCTGGCCTCTAGACCAGGCAAGGATCTCCCCCTCTTCACAGCTGGGTTTCTCTGCAGCCTCTTCTCTCCTGCAACCACAAGCCGGTAAGAGGTTCTTTACTCGTCATCTTCATTCCCGGTAGTTCTATTTCCATGGCTACTCCAAGAATGCTCAAGCTTTGCTTACATCCTCAACGGGCTGAGCTGCTGGCCCTAAAAATCCTGAATCAGAAGCCCGTGTGGTTCAGGCAACCTCCATCCTGGTCTTTCCTGCAGCCCCCAGCCCCAGATTACCCCATTAGATGCTCTCAGTACCACCCAACACTTACCTTTCATGGCACTCATCAAAGTTATAAATCGCATCGGGTGGATGGATGGTTTTTCTATTACTCACCTCTCACCCCAGGCTTTCAGCTCTGCGAGGTCAGAAGCCAAGTCTGTTTTATTCATAAGAATGCCCCTGAGCTCTCAGCGCCGGGCTGACCGGCATGTAGGAAATGCCCAGCAGATTGTCGTTGGAATACCTAGGAGGGTGGACGGATGGACGGGGAGGTGGATGTTGAGAGAGCGAGTGGAAGCACTTCTAGGATGCCAGATGATCAGAATGGTCTCTGAGGTTAATAGCATCCTACTGTGCAGAAAGGTGAGGCTAGGAGGTGCCTTCATTCTTTCCCCATCTAGTCAGTCCGGCTACAACCCCAGAGGCCTCCTGCTAAAAATGTCCCCAAATGCTTCCCTTCCTAACCAGCAGCCCCTTCGGTTAGAGGCAACCTCAGGTGGTCGTCAATGAGACTACATTCTCTCTTCTACTCACTTGGGTGTTGCCCTCCTTCCGCTGCCTGCTGCCCTAAGGAAAGTTTTATGGGGTCCCATTAACTGAGCGGGGAAGCCAGTGAGTGAGTGGGCTGGAGTGGATGGCCTTCATGCGCTACGCAGAAGGAGAACAATCTGGGGTTGATGCTTTATCTTGTGGTTCCCCCAAGGTGAGGAGGTGGACAGAGGAGAGAGATGATAGTTGATTCTTAGAGACATCGGTTTCCTCCTTCTGACACTTCTCTGCTGGTGCCCCATGGGACTCTGCAGGCACCTTCTTCAAGTCTTTGGTGCAGGGTCTAGAACAGTGTGAAGAACCGATGGGGAATTTATAGAAGTTTTTCCACAATCATGATGGCAAAGAAAACCATAAGGACACTGACACTATTTTTTAAAAGATTTTATTTATTTATTTGACACACAGAGAGAGAGAGAGACAGCGAGAGAGGGAACACAAGCAGGGAGAGTGGCGGAGGGAGAAGCAGCCTTCCCGCCGAGCAGGGAACCCAGTGCGGGGCTCTTGATCCCAGGACCCTGGGATCATGACCCAAGCCGAAGGTTGACGCTTAATGACTGAGCCACCAGGTAGGTGCCCCAGGACACAGACACTATTAGAGAAAGGAAAGGCTTTCAGGAGCGCCTGGGGTAGCTCAGTTGGTTGGGAGGTAGACTCCTGATTTCCCTTCAGGTCATGATCTGAGGGTTGTGGGATTTAACTCTGCGTGGGGCTCTGTGCTCAGATCAGCCTATGCTTGGGATTCTCTCTATCCCTCTCCCTCCGTCCCTCCCCTGCTCACATGCTCTACATAAATAAATAAATACATAAATACATAAATAAAATCTCTGGGGAAAAAAGGAAATAAAGAAAGTAAAGGCTCCCCTCCCCACTACCATTCTAGTTTGGGTGCCCAGCGTCTGCGTTATTTCACCGGGGTCCTGCCATGGCCCCGTGGTACAGATGAAACATGAGGCCTGCAGAAATTCGGCACTAACCGAGAAGGGGTTCAAACCCACTCGTGGGCCATGCTTCTGTTTTCTCTGTTCCCTGGGACCTTGAGGGTAGAGACCCCAGATGCCATTCAATTCAGCTCTGACCTAAGCAAGAGTTCCTTCCATCATCTCCCAGGATCACAGGTGGCCCCGGAATCCCAGGTAGGTATCCTGCTTGCCTCCTCCTTACCCACTCTGAAATCCAGTTCCTGCGACTTCCTCGGTTTTCATGGGGGTTCAGCCCATGGGTCAGGGCTTCAAGTGCTGGGGGCTCTGGGGGGCAGTCTTGGCGGGAAGGTTCCCCAGCCAGCCAGGCTGACCCCCAAACCCCACCCTGTCACTGTCTGTTGAACTATGCCGGTACCCTCACCCTTGGCTCCTCTGAAACCCACCCCCCAGCACTTGCATATGGGAACAAGCCTCTTCCTAGCATGGGGTCGAGTGTGGTTGCCTTTTTCTTGTTGTTCCTACTCCCCCATTCCCACCTGCTTTTTTCAAATCTTTCAGCCTGGCTAGTGAGGAGGGGGAGGTGATCCACGGGCAGACAGCGCTCCTCTGTCCCCTCCCCAGGTAAACTGCTGTGGGGGAAGCAGGGCACAGAGCGGGGTGGGCTGGTCCCGGAGCGACCCCCAGCACAACACCAACTTTGCCTCTGGGCGCTGTCTATCCTCTCCCTGTCCCCAGAAAGGCAAGGTGGGGAGCTTGGAGAAGGGACGCACCAGCCTCACCTTGGTCCTGCTGACTCCACGAATCTGGCTCCCCCGGCCTCAGCCGGGCATGAAAACTCGCCAGGTCTGCGGCGCCCCCCCCCCCCCCCCCCCGCCCCGTGCCTGCCTGTCCTTCCACAGCTCCTGGCCCCCAGGCTCAGCGATGCCGGTGGCAGGCCGTTTTCCCTCCTCACCCCATGCGTCTGCAGAAGAGACCCATACCTGGCCCAGACCAAGCCCCTGGCCATGCGCCATCACCACCCCAGAGTCAGAAGCAGCTGGTGGGCACCCAGCGCGGGTGTCACATGGGTGGGACAGGATCCCTGCCCTCCGGGGGCTTCTCATCCACAGGAGCCGCGACCAGACGTGGGAGAGCAGTCGCTTTCCCGGGGAGATCTGGTGAATTGCACGCGAAGCCTTTGAAACACGTGCCCAAGGTGGGCTGCGGGGCCACGTGCCCACCCTTGCCACCACCACCGCAGCCGGGCTGCTCCCGCCTCCGGTCCACTGTCCCCTGGAGATCCCTCCCTCCCCTTCGACCTCGGTCCTGTAAGAGAGTACTTCGTCACCCCACGCAGCAGCCCGTCTTCTAATGGCCCAACACCTCCTGCTGGGGCTCAGCTCGGTGTCCCAACCTGGCTGTAAGTGCCCCCAGGGCAGCCAGCGCCTCAGCCACCACGCACAGGGAGAGGTCAAGAGACAGCTCTGGCAGGGGTCATCGGGGCCACCGTGGATAACCCTGCGGGTGGGAGGCGATGTGGCCCGGGAATGGAGCTTCCAACCACGGGGTTTTGTGATGGGGGGACCCGGTGGGGAGCGGCCAGAAGGCCTTCAGCACGCGGGCGGGAGAGTCCTTTTGCTGCTCGCCCTCTGGGCAAATCCATTCATGGTAGGGGCAGCCGTGGCTGCGGCGAGCTACACTCACTCCACCCTGGGAGGTGGCCGCCCAAGCCCGAGGAGGCTTGGGAAATGGGCGAAGTGGTCAGACTGGTTTCCGGAGCCGGGCTCGGAATCCACTCGGGCTGGCCGGCGCTGGTGGGGGAGGACCGAACCCTGCCAGCGGCACCAGAGGCCACCCTGGGATGCTTTGTTTTCCACCCTCCACGGCGACCCACGGAGTGGGGGAACAGCAGGCGGCCAGTGGGGGAAACGCGGTCTTCCTGGGTATGCCTGCAGGCTGGTCGCCCCCCAGCCCGCTGCTGCTCAGCCCCTCCCTCCGGGGCTGGTGTTGGCCAAGAGTGCCAAGGTGGGCGCCCCCGGTGCACAGCGAGCCTGGGTTTTGAGCTCGGTCGGTGAAAGAAGGAAGAGGGCAGGGGAGTGTGAAGAAGAGTCCAGCTCTGCCACTAGCCTTTGGAATGACCTTGCAGGAGTCACCCCCTTCTCCCAGCCTGCTCCCTAGTCCCCCACTGTCCCTTCCAGTCAGACACTCATGGGTGTCCGGGGGACCAGGTGGGTGCAAGGGGAAGGAGGGCACCACAGCCGGTGGCCCTGTGCTACCACGGGGTTGGGCAGTTCTGAGGAAACTCAACTGGTCCTTGGGGTTGGTGGGCATTTCCACGTGGCTGCGGGCGCTGGAGCCTCCAGGATGGGAAAATGGAGTCTTCAAATTTCCTACCACGCACAATCGAGGCACTGATGGCCCAGGCTGGCAGGCGCCAGGTTCTCCGGGCTGTCTGGGCTGAGGAAGGGGCGCCTCCCCCTCCCGCAGACACCCCACAACGCCCTAAGTCTGGAAGTCCAGTGCAGGGGCATTGAGGGAAGGGGTCGAGCAAGCTGGGGGGCTGGAGCGAGACAGCACTGCCATCCCAGAAAATGGAGAGCCCAATTTCCCGTCTGCAGCAGCTGCTGGGCAGCTAGGGGGGTCTCGAGAGCCGCCCCTGCTGCGGTCTTCTTTGAGGTTCCTCGGTGCAAAGACGGGGGCGTGGGGTTGGCGCTACGCGGGGGCCGTGGGGGCTCCCGGATTAGCGACCCCCCCAGCAACGCAATCAGAGGAGAGAAGGAACTCCGAGCTAGAAGACTGCCCGGCCCTCGCCACCGCCGCGCGCGGGGGACCCCCCCTTCCCGCAACCAGGGTGGGCTGCGGCGAGGGCTCGGGTCCAGCCCTGCGACCAGCGTGGAAGGGGGGGTCCCGGGCGACCCGCCGGCGCCGCGCGAGTGGCCGTCGCACGCGGAGCCCCCTTGGGGATTGGGGGGGGTTACGGCCGCCCCCCGAGAGGGGGGGCGAGGGCGAGGGCAGGGGCCCCGGGGCCCCCAGGCCGCCCGGCGCGGGTGGGCGGGCTGCAGGGGCCCCCGTGGGCCGGGGCCGGGCTTTGTCTGCGGCGGCTCGGCTTTGGGAAGGCGCCAGCCCGGGTACAAGATGGCGGGGAAAGGGTGGGATCGCGGGCGCTCGCCACGCGGAGCGGCCCCGCTCTGCCGGCGCTGCAGCGGGGGGAGGGGCGGGGCGCCGGCGACCCCGCGCGCCCCCCGCCCCCGCTCCGGCCGCCGGCCCGCACCCCAGCCGGCGACCCCGCGCCCCTCGGTCCCCGCCGCGTGCGTGTGGCGGCGGCCGCCTGCGCCTCCCTCCGCAGAGCCCCGGCCGCGGCAGCTGCAGAAAATGGCTGCCAAAGCGGCGCCAGTCGCCACGCTGCCACGGGCGGGGGGCGGGCGCCGCGGCCCCCAGCGGCCCGGCCCCGCTTCCCTCGCCCGGGGACTCTCCGCCCGGGCGCTGGGACCCCGGCGGGCAGCGGGTCATGGGGGGGGCGGGCGGCTGGGGCGGGAGGGGGCGCAGCGGCCGGAGCGGGGGGCGAGCGGGGCGGGGGAGGGGCGGTTACCTGCGGGCGGAGGGGCGCGGGGTGGGGGGGCGGTGGCAGGAGGCCGGTGCGGGGACGGAGGGTGCTCTCGCCCTGCCCCCTCTCTGCAAGCCCCGAGCCCTCCCGGGGTCGCGGCTCCCGGGTGGGGAAATGCTAATGGGGCTGTTGACCTCCGTGACCGCGGGCCGCCCCCGCCCAAGTAGAGATTCCCCGGCCTCGCCCCCACCCCCTCGCGGCGGTGCAGCTGGGCGGGCCCGCCTCGACGCCCCCCGCAGAAAAATGAAAATTAAATTAAAAGCCGTGCGCGTGCCGACTACAAAACGACCCAAGCCCGGAACTCCGCGGAGAAGATCCGGGTGGATCCTCGGGCGCCATGAACTGCAGCGGCGGCGGGAGCTCGGCAGGTGCCGCGCGCCCACCCTCCTCTCCGCAGGGAGCCGCTCCCCGACCCCCGCCTCCGCCCCGCCGAGAGCAGCTCCCGCCGCGGGGGCGCCCGCGGCCGCCCTGCGGCTCCCAGGCACCCGGGCCCAGGCACTCTTCTTTGGGCGCCAAGGGGAGCCCGGGGCGAGCTGGAGTCCCCGGCGCGAACTCGGGACAGGGCCGAGGGGAGCACTAGAGCAGGGGAAGAAGTTGCCCCCGGAGTCCCCGGCTTGGGGTTCCTGGGGAATAAACGAAAAGTGCGAGCCGAGGGCTCGTGTGTGAGGTCGGACCCCGGGATCGGGACCACTTGGTGGAGTAGAGAGGGTCCCGTAGCCCCCCTTCTCTCAGCCCGGAGGAACCCAGCCCCAAGCGGTCGGACGCCGGGGAGAGGTGTGTCTGTAAGTTTGGGGCTTTATTTTCCCCATCTGCAAGTTTCTCTCTCGCCCCTCCCGCCAACCGCGTCCTCGGTCCCAGCGATTTCACTACCACTGGCAGGAAAACTCAAATTCAGTAAATAGGCGGGCAGAGACCAGGAGCCAACAGGTCAGGTAAAGGCGTTTCCAGATTGGAGAGCGGCTCCTGCTCTTGGGGTTTAAGAGTAGAGAAGGGGCGCACGTAAGGAGGCACGTCCCGGTGCGGGGCGAAGTCGGAGGACACCTGGGGACCTGCGCCCCCATCTCTCCGCTAGACGAAGGCATCCATGTACCTGAGCACACAGAACCTGGGAATGGGGATTGACTAGGAACCACCCGGCTAACTGGGCGTGGGCAGGCACGGGCCGGGGGCGGGCTACGCGGGGGCACTGAGAGGCTGCGTCCCGGCACCCACGGATTTTCCCGAGCTCTGAGAGGTCTCCATGGCACACGTGCAGCGCGGGGCGCACACCTAGGCAAACCTCCCGCCCCGAGGTCATCCTCAGTCCCTGCGCGTGGTGGGGGGGCGGTGCGGTGCTGTGCTTTCTGGTGCTTTCTGTGAGGCAAAACCCCGTGGCCGCGCATCTCAGCCAAGGTGAAGAAGGGATCCATGCTGGCACCGAGGGCTGCGGCGGCCGCAGAGTTTCCTTCCGCAGAAGCAGCGAGGAGGCGGCGGCCGAAGCTGACTCGATCCAGCAGGCAGCGCCCTCCCAATCTCGCACCCGCATTCCCTGGCAGTGCCCGTCTCCGCCACCTTTCCCCAGGAGGGACCAGGTTGGGGAAATTTGAGGTTTGGAAGGAACGGAGGGCGAGGACAGGGAAAGATGCCCCAGACGAAGCGGAGGTCAGGCGGTCATCGCGCCCCGTTCCCCATCCCCCACCCAAGCCCGCCTCCTGTGCGACCCCCACCTGCGCCGTGTTCCAGGCTCAGGCTTCCCAGTAGGGGGCATCGCTGGGCGCCTCCGCAAGGCGGCTGCCCTGGAGAGGCGAGCTCGGTCACAAGCGAAGTCCCCAGGGCGCTAGGGTACCCATTGTCTTAGCGTTCCTGTTTGGGTCCCTGGGGAGAGGAGCGAATTCCCAAGGGTTCGCCTCGGGCCGCAGCGGCGTCGCTAGGAAGACCGGCGCCGCGGCACCCGCGGCCGCCCGGGAGGGGTCAGCCGGACACCTGTGTGTGCGCGCGCGCGCGTGCGCGCGCCTCTGAGCGTGAGGGAGGGGGCGAGGGGCGCCCCAGGAACCGTGGTGCCTCCGCTGCCCGAGTTTGAGGCGCACGGGAGCCTCATGCCAAGAGGAAGAGGGACGTCTTCTGCCTCCGCGGGCTCCCACCCCGGGGGTGGGCCCAGAGCTGGGCACCTGACCTGCATCCCGCAACGACCGCTCCGCTGCGTTCTGCCCGGAAACCCGAGAATGGCTCTTTTGGAGCATTTTCCCTTCCGCACGCAGGTTTTTTTTTTTTTTTTTTTTCCTCTTCCCTTCCCCTCAACAATTGGCAGGCTTTTTAAGTAACCTTTAAATGAGACATCGATTTATCATTATTATGATTGCATTCAGAAATCCAGCCCGAAGGGAAACCCCGGGAAATGGTAATTTGGCGGTACCTAGGGCTGTCTGTGGTTTAGCACATCCCTAGCCCCGCACGCACATTTCTTGACAGCTAATTGCTCTGATGACCTCTGGGGCGGGGGAGGTGAATGTGTGCGCGTGTGGGGGAGACTCGGACTGCTCGCAGAGCCGCTTGCGTGCACGCCGTGGACCTGATGCTGCGGCGGCCACTGCAGTAGCGACGCGCGCGCGCGCGCGCGCACACAGACACACACACACACACACACCCCCGGTCTCCAGCTCCCCTCCCGCATCCGGGCCTTCCGGCTCCTCAGCCGCCGTCCGCCGGGTTTGGGGAGGGGGTGCGTGGGGTGTGATGTGGAAGCGCGCGGACGGGGCGAGGACAGGCCGAGCCGGAGGAAAAGAATGACAGCCGGGCGAAGGGGGAGGGGGACGACCGCGCGCAGAAACTTGGGGGAGAGGGTGCAGGCGAAAACGGGGGTCGGCGAGGAGGGGGTGCCGAGGCGAGAGGCGGGGAGGCCGGGGGAGAAAGAAAGGGAGGGGGCGGGGAGCGGGCGGGGAGCGGGCGGGGGCGGCTGGCTCCTTTCCACTCGTGAGAGCCGGTTGCTGAGAGACGCGCGGGCCAATGAGCGCGCACCAGCTCAGCCCGGCGCCCGCCGCGTGCCCTTATATGGTGAGGCCGCTCGGCGGGCGCTCGCGCACATCGCCATATAAGGGCAGGAACCTAAATACAGGCTATACCTTGTTCTCTGCTCGCCCGGCCGCGGCCCCGGCGATCGATGAGCGCGCGGCCGAGCGGGCAGCGGAGCGCGGGCTCCGAGCGCGGGCGGGAGAGGGCCGCTGCGGCCGCGCGGCCGCGCCAGATGTGGACGGCGCAATGGCAGCTCGGGCCAGCTGTGGCGCTCAGAAGGAGTCGCCCGCCGCCGCCAGGCAGCCCCCTCCTTTCCTCCCCTACCCGCCCCCGCCCCCCGTACTGTTTCCGAGGTGCAAATGCAAATGAGCTGAGATAGAAATCTAATTGCTTTTGTTTAAAAAAAAATAGTAACAAACGCGAGTCTGTGCTGAGTCTGAGCAAAGGCCCAGAATCCAGAGAAACCGAGCCCAACGCCGAGGGTGGGGCGGCGAAGGTTGGGGAGGGAAGAGATCTGGACTGTGATTTGGGGGTTGGGGTCCTCCGGCTGTCTCCTGAGGCCTGGTCCATCATGCAGTCATCTGAGAGCCCGCGCCCCATTTCTCCGATCCCCTCCGCGTCAGGCCTGGCCAAGAGCCCAGGCCGGGGCTTGAGGTTGGAAGCTGCGTGGGGACAGGGTGGTGGGGAGTCCAGGAGCGGTGGCAGCGAGGACACACGGGATCAGTGTCCCTGCTGGTGCGGGCAGCCTGGAGCCAGTCCGGCGGCGAGAGAGAAAGAGAGAAAGGAGAGGCATCGCTGTCATCTCTCTGCTATCTCTGTACCGTCCCTGCTCCCTGAGGTCAGGCAGCGTGCTGCCCGCAGTGACCAGCCCCACAGGTCTCTGATCCACCTACCGGATGGGCCCATTAGGCGGGATCAGACCACGGAAGGTGGGAGGGGCTGCAGGAGGTCTCTTTGAGTGGAGAGGTTGCCGCAGGGTGGAGCCCCGGGACAGCACAGCAACCTCTGGCATCTGGGCTCCTGCTGGTCCTGGGGACCCCAGAGTCTTGTCTCCAGCAGGTTGCTTGCCTTCTCCCTCCCCACTTCTGGCCAGTCCCTTCACTGATCAGGAGAGGGGCTTTAACAAACTCCTCCTGGTCACAGGAGTGGCCCCTGGTCAGGATGTCTGGAAAGGAAGGAGGAGCCTCAGTCTGGGACCTGTGCCCCCACCGCCAGGACAGCACAGCTTCCCGTTGTGGGTGAATGTTGTTGGAAATCTCAAATAGCACCCCCAGCAGCCCCCCCCCCCGCCACACACACCATCTTTGGGGCTAAGGCCTTTCTCTCCCACCATTTGCCGTAGCAGGCGAGATTTCCCCAGACCCCTGGCTTACCAGCAGGGTGTTCATGCTGGAGAACCCTATGCTCCTGGGTCAGGAGCCTCTGGAGTTCGAGGGAACCCTTGCCAGCCACGTGCTCCACAGGTGCCTAAGATCCCCCTCGCCAGCCAGTTTGGAGTGGGACTGTACTGCCCTGCCTTGGCTTCCCCGGTGCCTGGATATGCCACGGAGAGAACCTTTCCCTTCTGAAGAGGCCATTTCCAGTAGCATGATGCCACCTATAGAATGTACCTGGAATTAGTCCGAGCTGCGGCAATGCCTCCAGCAGCGTGGCGCTGGTGAGGGAGCTGGAGGGAAAATAATGCCCTCTGTTGTCCTTGACGGAGGTTGGGAGGAGAAGGGATTGGAGGGGTGGTCCATGCACCCAGAGCTTCCTCCAGGACTCTCTCTCTCTCTTGCCTTCCTGGGCCCCCTGACTAGGTGTTCCGTAGTTCTGTGCCCGGCATCACCGCTGGGGAAACTGAAACTGACACCCGCACAGCTGGGACAGGAACGCACCTGCTCTGGGTAGGAGTCCCCGCGCTTTCCAGACAATTGCACCCTCCGGGGTTTGGCGTGCTGGCTGAGGTTCTGTGACAGGCCAGCGGTCAGCCATCCCTGGCTAGCAAGCATTTTCTAAAGATTCTGGTATCCCGATAAACCTCCCTGAATGACCCCACGCCTATGGAATGTGGGAACCAGGCGCTGCTCTAAGGTTATCTGGCTTCGAATGATCATTTTACAGGGAGAAGCTGACGTCGGGGGAGAGAAACTGACTTGCCTAAGGTAACTCGGCTAGCCAGGAAAGAGCAAGCTTGGGGCTGGACCCAAAGCTTTGAATTCCCGATCCATGAGTTTTTGGATTATGCAGATGCATCTCAGTGGTAGCCGGGGCACAGCCCTGCATATCAGCGTGGTTTGGGAGTCCAGCAGCCCTACAGCCGGTGCAAGGAGGGAGTCCCGTGGTGGCTGCCAGACTGGCTCTTCCAGTGCTTGGAACTGACAGTCTTTGATGGCAGCCAGTCACTCCGTCAGGGCGGCTGGGGAGGACGGGGACTAGAGGCAGGAAAACTGTCGGATTCGGGCTCCAGGCTGCTGGGCTCCTGGTCTTGCCAGAATCTAGGAAGTCCAAGAGCTAGCGACATCCCTCCCTGCTCCCCACTATCTTGGCTCTCTCATGCCAAGCCCCATGACTCAGAGCAGCAGCACAGCCGGCCGTACCTGTCTCCCAGCGGAGCCGGGTTCTGCCCAGAATCTCCTCTTAGGTCCTCAACTCCTGGGTGACAGACTTAGGTCAAACCCTGTCCTGTGGCTGAACTTGGTCACTGGCAAGTTACTTAAGCTCTCTGAGCTGGTTTCCCCATCTTCAAATGAAGTCAGTAAAGCTTCCCTCTAGATGCTGTGATGAGGAATAAAAGTGAAGAGTTCGGAAAGCATCCAGGACAGAACTTGGCATTCAGTAGCCCTTGCTTGGTGGATGGTAGCTACACCCGTCCATTCCCACCATTCCAGCAGACCCTATTGTGCCAGGCTGGGCACCAGGCTCTCGGATACAGATGACCATAAAACATCACATACATTTGATGCACACAAAAACAGGTACTCCCAAACACTTCCTGGCAGGCTCCCCTGGGCTGCTGTCTGGTGGGTGTGAGCTCCAGCCTTTTCCCTACTCTCCCATGAATTCCTCCTGTTGGCCTCTCCAGCTTCTGCCCGGCTCTACCCTCAGCCCTGCCCCACCCCTTGCTGCCACCCAGAACCCAGGAGTCTATCCCTAGGCTGGTTTCCCTGAGCATTCACCAGAGCAGCAGTGTCGACAGCCCTAGCATCTTTTCCTCCCAGGAGGGTCAGGGCCCGCACCCACAGCGGCTAGAAGAAGTGCGCCTTACTCTAGGAATCAGCCTGGGACCCTTTCCTCACCTTGGAAAAACAGCTGTGTGTGTGTGTGTGTGTGTGTGTGTGTGTTTGTAGTGTAGAGTTCTGCTTTCCCGAAAGTCAAAATCCTCTCCATGTGGATCCATTACAGGTGTCTGTCAAGCAAACAAAATGGGAAAGAACCTGCCCATTTGGCGGGTGGGAATACTGATTTTCCAGAGAGGGGTCTGCTCTGGCAAGGTGCAGGCGCTGGAGGGGCTTTCCTGGATTCCGCTGAACTTGGAACAGGGACTGGACAGGGTTGAGAGCCCCAGCTGGAGGGGACACCGGGGTGAGCCCACAAGCGCTCAGTACCTGATGGACGGTGGACAGGTAGAAGAAGAAACTAAGTCTGGGGCTCGAGCCATCTCCCCCAAAACATCTCTCTCCCATTTCCTCCCCCTTCCTCCCTTTCTCTTCCCCCCGCACTTGTTCGCCGCTCGCCCTCTCCTTCGGACTCGCACCCCCGCGTGGCCGCCAGCTCACTCCCACCCCGGGCCCTGCGGAGCCGTGCAGGCGCGGGTAAAGCCCCGCTAGACCCTGCGGTCCCCCGCGCGCCC